GTTTGCAACATTGTGAAAGTCTCGGGAGAAGCGATTTGCAACATTGTAAAAGTCCAAGGGAGCGATTTGCAACATTGTTGTGTTTGCAACATTGTGGAGTTCCTGAAAAGGGCGATTTGCAATATTGTTGGGTTTGCAACATTGTGGAAGTTTTAGCGGAGCGATTTGCAACATTGTTGTTTCTATTTTGAGCGGAGGATTTGCAATATTGTTAAGACAGGAAATATCACAGAGATATGGGGCGAAATTATAAGGAAATATACAAGGAAATGGAGGGAAATTAAAGGGAAATGTACAAGGAAATGGAGGGAAATTAAAGGGAAATGTACAAGGAAATGAAAGGAAATTAATGGGTAATGTACCGGGAAGTGAAGGGCAACTAAATGGAAATATCTCAGGAAGTGGAGGGCATTATATTAGGAAATGAGAGGAAATTAAAGGGCAATGTGCTAGAAAATGAAGGAGAATTAATGGGTAATGTACCAGGAAATGAAGAGGAATTAAAGGGAAATGTTCAAGGAACTGAAGGTAAATTAATGGGTAATGTACCAGGAAATGGAAGAACTTTTAACAAAAACGTAATTAAAATTAATTATTCTCAGAAAATAAGGTAATGAAATTTTGACCATACTTTGTTTATGTTCTGCGCCTACGAGATGGCACCGGACTGACAAACCGGCAAGTACTTGTTGATGTTTACCGGGGGGCATCCTTGCGCCTACGAGATGGTACCGAATCGACAAACCGGTAGGCGTTGGTTGCCGTATGACAGGGGCACCTCTGCGCCTACGAGACGGCAACCGAATCGACGACCAGGTAGGCGCCGGTTGCCGCATGACAGGGGCACCTCTGCGCCTACGAGACGGCAACCGAATCGACGAACCGGTAGTCGCCGGTTGCCGCATGACAGGGGCACCTCTGCGCCTACAACTTAATAACCGGGCCTACGAACAGGCTAGCATCGGTTGCCGCATGACAGGGGTACCTCTGCGCCTACGACTTAATAACCGGGCCTACGAACAGGCTAGCATCGGTTGCCACCCAACAGGAGCACACTTCACGCCTTCTGGGTGACAACAAAAATTTTTCGTTCCATTTTCTAATTGTGGCAATTCAATTGACTGACACTAACTTTTCGTTCAATTTTGGACACCTCCTGACACATCATATGAGCGAATCTTGTTGCAAGAAAGTAGTCGACCGTAGATATAAACTTATAAGGAAAAGAAGGAAAATAATTTAAAACACATTAAAAACAAACTCTGGTCGTATAGGTGTATGTCGTTTATTTATTTAATCGATCTGATCGCAGTATAGTTTTTTCATTCATTATACTTCGTCTTCCATAAGTTAATTACAAGTATTTCATCATCGTCTATAATCTAAAAGGGTATAGGGGTAAAGTTTTATAGGTATTTCACAGTATTGACTCTATTACATACGCTAATCAGATGGCTAATGTGTTCGTATCTACAAATATATCTTGTATTTGTTTCTTCTATATACATATACATATATACACATATATATAGAATCCGTATATGTGCATATCTATATATACATATATCCGTTTCGTAACACATCCCCCATCCCGACCCTTCAATCTCTCTCTCTCTCTCTCTCTCTCTCTCTCTCTCTCTCTCTCTCT